TGCCCCTAAAGCAGTGTGAGGACTGAGGCGGGTGCCCCTAAAGCAGTGTGAGGACTGAGGCGTGTGCCCCTAAAGCAGTGTGAGGACTGAGGCGTGTGCCCCTAAAGCAGTGTGAGGACTGAGGCGTGTGCCCCTAAAGCAGTGTGAGGACTGAGGCGTGTGCCCCTAAAGCAGTGTGAGGACTGAGGCGTGTGCCCCTAAAGCAGTGTGAGGACTGAGGCGTGTGCCCCTAAAGCAGTGTGAGGACTGAGGCGTGTGCCCCTAAAGCAGTGTGAGGACTGAGGCGGGTGCCCCTAAAGCAGTGTGAGGACTGAGGCGGGTGCCCCTAAAGCAGTGTGAGGACTGAGGCGGGTGGCCCTAAAGCAGTGTGAGGACTGAGGCGGGTGGCTGGGTTTGTTACTTACTGCACTGACCCGGTGCAGAGCCTCCACTTGCAGGTCTTGGAACAGGGAGGTGAGCAGCTTGATGGCGTGGTTAGCCAGGATCACCGACAGGACACCAAAGCCTTGGTGTCTGAGAGGAGAGAATAGAGAAATTAATGAAGTTTGTTTCTCTTTTGGATAAATATTAACCTCAGAAAACCAGAACCAAATGTTGATTTGATTATGGGGGAGGAAGTATTCAAATCTGAACTAAAGGAATCAGGAAGATTGTCTTAACCCCTCTGCGAAAGCCTGCCCCTGCCCTGCCCCCCTCCCCCCCCAGATTCACAAACTACAAGCCTACAAACAAACAGCATAATAACGGTGAAAATTTATTCGGCGGGTAGCTACCCACCCTTTGGCAGGGCCCAGTTTAGGGGACCCGGCTCCGTCCTTGGCGCGGGTGCCGATGTCTCGGACCCTGAGGGCGGCCAGAGGGTCCTTCTCCTTGCCCTTGTCAGCCAGGGCTGTGGGAGTCAGGTTGACGATCAGGTACAAGCTGTTCAGCAGACACCACGCTCCCAGCAGCTGGAAGTTCTGGTATTGCTGGATGACACATTTCACAACTATGTTTTAAGGATTTTGCAGACGCTCCTCTTCAGAGACTTACAATCAGTGCATTTAACTACTCTAAAAACAACCACATATCATAACTACCCTAAACAACCACATATCATAAGTACCCTAAACAACCACATATCATAACTACCCTAAACAACCACATATCATAACTACCCTAAACAACCACATATCATAACTACCCTAAACAACCACATATCATAACTACCCTAAACAACCACATATCATAACTACCCTAAACAACCACATATCATAACTACCCTAAACAACCACATATCATAACTACCCTAAACAACCACATATCATAACTACCCTAAACAACCACATACAGTACATGACCAAAAGTATGTGGACACCTGCTCGTTGAACATCTCATTCCAAAATCATGGGCATTAATATGGAGTTGGTCCCCCCTTTGCTGCTATAACAGCCTCCACTCTTCTGGGAAGGCTTTCCACTAGATGTTGCAACACTGCTGCGGGGACTTGCTTCCATTCAGCCACAAGAGCATTAGTGAGGTCGGGCACTGATGTTGGGCGATTGGCCCTGGCTCGCAGTCGGCCTTCCAATTCATCCCAAAGGTGTTCGATGGGGTTGAGGTCAGGGCTCTGTGCAGGCCAGTCAAGTTCTTCCACACCCATCTCAACAAACCATTTCTGTATGGACCTTGCTTTGTGCACGGGGGCATTGTCATGCTGAAACAGGAAAGGGCCTTCAACCAAACTGTTGCCACAAAGTTGGAAGCACAGAATCGTCTAGAATGTCATTGTATGCTGTAGCGTTAAGATTTCCCTTCACTGGAACTAAGGGGCCTAGCCCGAACCATGAAAAACAGCCCCAGACCATTATTCCTCCTCCACCAAACTTTACAGTTGGTACTATGCATTGGGGCAGGTAGCGTTCTCCTGGCATCGGCCAAACCCAGAGTCATCTGTCGGACTGCCAGATAGTGAAGCGTGATTCATCACTCCAGAGTCCAATGGCGACGAACGTTACACCACTCCAGCTGACGCTTGGCATTGTGCATGGTGATCTTAGGCTTGTGTGCGGCTGCTCGGCCATGGAAACCCATTTCATGAAGCTCCCGATGAACAGTTCTTGTGCTGACGTTGCTTCCAGAGGCAGTTTGTAGTGTTGCAACAGACTCTTTTTACGCGCTACGCGCTTCAGCACTCGGCGGTCCCGTTCTGTGAGCTTGTGTGGCCTACCACTTCGCGGCTGAGCCGGTGTTGCTCTTAGACGTTTCCACTTCACAATAACAGCACTTACAGTTGACCGGGGCAGCTCTAGCAGGGCAGGAATTTGATGAACTGACGTGTTGGAAAGGTGGCATCCTATGACAGTGCCCCGTTGAAAGACACTGAGCCATTCTACTGCCGATGTTTGTCTATGGAGATTGCATGGCTGTGTGCTCGATTTTATACACCTGTCAGCAACGGGGTGTGGCTGAAATAGCCGAATCCACTAATTTGAAGGAGTGTCCACATACTTTTGTTCATGTAGCGAATTTATATGCTTTAGAATGACACTTCCGGTTTTGCCATGAAACACTGGGTTACCCGGGAGATAAGTGATTTATTCTCGGGATGGCACATTGGTGAAACCCTAGTTAGGACTACACCCATCAGACTGCAGGTACAGTATCTAGCTACACAGATGAGGACAGGGTTGATCCACTAGTCACCTCTCCCCCCAGTTTCTGGGGGAGCTGCTGATTTTTTTGGGCCGTAAATTCCCTAGATTTCCAGCTGAAAACAACAAACAAAACAGAGACAAAAACCCGAGAAAAAAGAGAGAGAGAGAGAAAAGAAAGAGGGGGGAGGGGAGACCCATTTTCCAAACGTAGGGGAAGAAAAATTTTCCAAGGGGAAGAACAGGGGGAATCTGATTTTTTCGGGGGCTCTCTTTTCTCTCTCTCTCGGCTCTTTAACCTTCTCTCGCTTTTACCCTCAAATCTCCCCCCTTTCCCCTCCCCTTTTCTCCTCTCTTCCCTCGCTCTCTTTTCTCTTCCCCTCTCCCCCGCCCTCTTCCCCCTCTCCTCCTTTTCCTCTCTCTCTCTCTCTTTCCTCTCTCCCCTCCCCTTCTTCCTCTCTCCTCTCTTTTCCCCCTCCCTCTCTCTCTCCTCTTCTTCCTCTCTCCCTCTCCCTCTCCCCTCCTCCCCCTCCCCCCTCTCTCTCTTTTCTCCTCTCTCCCCTTCAAAACCCCCCTTCTTTTCTCTTTTTCTTTTTGGGGGCGGGGGGGGGCGCAATAAAATTTTTGAAAACCCAAAAAGCACCCAAAAAGAAACCTTTTAATAGAAAATTTTTTTGTTTTTCTGATTCAAAAAAGATTAGCTGGAAGGGGTGAACTGATGTCATTTTTCGCTAACTGATCAGATTACTGAGAACTTTTTCCTCTCTATATTAATAAATAAATTTTTTCCTGATAAAATCGATACAAGCACTAGAGCGTCATATCAGTACAATACAGAGTATTACTACATCCACAACTGGTGCACCCTAACGACTAGGTACAATATCGGTGTTACTTACACATTTCTGTACGATGGTAGCAGCGTCATTTTCATAGTCCTCCTCTTTGGTGCCGGTGGAGGCTGTGCGGAGCTGCAGACCGCTGCCAACCTGCAGGACGGCCATGCACGTGGCAACGCTCACACCTGGAGGAGAGGAGGAGGAGTTAACCTATAGTTAACCCCAAGATTAGAGGCAACAGGGAAACTTGAAACCAAAAATAAAACATATTTCCACTAAAATCAATGATTTACAGACTAGAATAATTGTACAAAATCATAGGGTAAGCTCAGTCAGAAGTACATTGTTTAACCGCTTGAAAAGTCGACTTTTGACTCTGCCATTAAAGGGGACAGTACACTACTATACGTGGCCAAACTGGGAACGGAACCCACAACTGAACCCATCACGTACCGGCGTAGAGACAGCTGAGGGCCAGGACAGTCATATCCAGCAGTCTCCCAGGGGTCAGTGGCTCCAGGACGGGCAGGGACAGGGTGTCCAGGGCCATGGTCACATCTATCACCAGGGAGTGGAACCTGACGGGAAGAGAATTAAAAACGGAGTTAGGCCTAAAATAGTGATGATGCATGAAGAACATAGCATGACAGGGCAAAAGACTGAGTGTGAGACTGTGCACGTCACAATATTCCCCTCAGTAGCTATATGACCAACGCAGGCACCAACTCAAGAGCGTGATTACATCAACAAATTCGGTGCAACTGCGACCAGAAGAGATAATTGACTACAATCACTCATCCAATAGTATGCTGCTACAGAGGCAAAATCCTTGAGCAGTTGTGGTTGTACTCCAGTCCAGGACTCCAGTGCTAGGAACCTAACTCTGACGTGACAACAACACAATCTTGGGAGAAATCTGTCACAGACACACAAACCCACCCGTTGCGGACTGCGGTTGCGTCGCCGACGGTGGCGGGCATGATGAAGAAGGAGTTGGCTGAGACGGCGTCCTGGAACCGGTTGATATAGCGCAGGAAGTAAGGGAGGTTGAGGCAGACACGCAGCAACTTCTCTGACCCGCCCAGCTCCTGGAGACTGGACACGTTCTGGGACACGAAGGCATTCTTCATTTTGGCCTGGAAGGTCTGGTCTGTCGCCGTCGTCTGGTCGTCCCGCTCACTCTCCGCCTGAAATATCAGACCATGTGACCATCAGCCTACAAACACCAATCTTAGACTGTGAGCACCATTTTGACAAATAATGGTTATAAACGTGCAGCATAATGCTAATATCAAGAAACCCGTAGAAAAAGCTGTTTTCGGCTAACAGGGTGGCCATGATTGGCTTTAACTCAAAAGGCGGGGAAATGTTTCAGGGAGGTTTTCTACCTGTGTGTGTCCTGAGGGGGAGGCCAGCATGGTGAGGTCAGGGTTGAACACAGAGGTCAGTTGATTGAAGAAGTTCATCCGCACTTCCTTGTGTCGCAGCTCAGGGTTGACTGGAGAGGGCACCTCCTTCTGCTCCTCCACTGGGAGGGTGAGACACAGGACAGTAAGACATGGTCAGACAGCTGTCTAACCCTAGCCCTGTTGAGTAGACTAGCACCATAGATGTCTAACCCTAACCCTGTTGAGTAGACTAGCACCATAGCTGTCTGGCCCTAACCCTGTTTAGTAGACTAGCACCATAGCTGTCTGGCCTAACCCTGTTGAGTAGACTAGCACCATAGCTGTCAAACCCTAACCCTTTTGAGTAGACTAGCCCCCTAGCTGTCTAAAACCCCAAACCCTGTTGAGTAGACTAGCCCCATAGGCCCAAAACCCTTTAACCCCCTGTTTGAGTAGATACCCCATAGCGGGTCTAACCCTAACCCGGTTGAGTAGACTAACAAAAGGTCAAACCCCAAACCCCTTTTAAAGTAACAATCACCATAGCGGGTTAACCCCCCCCTGTTGAGTAGACTAGAACCATGCTTCGGGCCCTAACCCTTTGGTGACTAGCACCATAGCTGCCCAAACCCCAAACCCCCTGTTGAGTAAAACTAGCACCATAGCGGCCCGGGCCCCAAACCCCTTTTGAGTGACTACCCAACCATAGCTGTCGGGCCCTAACCCTGTTGAGTTAAATCACCAAAAGCTGTCAAACCCAACCCTTTGAGTAACTGCACCTAGCTGTCTGGCCCCAACCCTGTTAAAGTAGACTAGCACCATAGCTGTTGGCCCTAACCCCTTTTTTAGTAGCCCTAGCACCATGGGGTCGGGCCCAAACCCTTTTGAGTAGCTAGACCTTATTTTTCGGGCCCCAAACCCTTTTTGGTAGACTAGGCACCAAGCTGTCTGGCCCAAACCCCTGTTGATAGAACCCACCATACTTTTCAAACCCCTAACCCTGTTGGTAGACTAGCCCCCATACCCCCTGTCCCCCCCTTTAACCCTGTAAAGTGGACTTACACCAAGCTTTTGGGCCCAAACCCTTTTGGAGTATACTAGCCCAAGCTGCCCGGCCCAACCCCTTTTAAAGTAGACTGGGCCCCAAATAGCTTTTGGGGCCCAAAACCCTGTTGGTAGACTAGCCCCAAAGGGGTTGTCAACCCAAACCCCTTGGGGTTAGACTACCCACCATAGCTGGGGCCCAACCCGGTTGATAACTAGCCCCAAAAAGCTTCAAACCCCCCAAACCCCGGTTGAGTAGACTACACCATGCTGCCCCGGGCCCAAACCCGTTGAGTAGATTTAGAAACCAAGTGTCTAACCCAAACCCTTTTTAAAGTAGACTAGCCCCATACTGTTGGCCCAAAAACCCTGTTGAGTAAAATAGAAACCATAGTTTGTCTAACCCTAACCCTGTTGATTTAAAACTAGCACATAGCTGTCAACCCTAACCCTGTTGGTAACTAAAAAACCAAGCGGCAAAAACCCAAAACCCTGTTGAGAAAAACCAAGAAACAAGCGTCAAACCCAAACCCCTTTTGGTAGACTAGAAACAATAGCGGGTCGGGCCCCAAAAACCCCTTTTGGGGAGATGGGCCCCAAAGCTGTCCCCCCCAAACCCCTTTTAAGTGGGATTTTAGAAACCAAAGTTTCAAAAAACCCTAAACCCGGTTGAGTGATTTCCCCATAGCTGTCGGGCCCCTTTAACCCCTGTTGAGTAGACTGCACCATAGCGGGTCTAACCCAAACCCTTTTGAGTAGACTAGAAACCAAGCGTCAACCCGGGTTTTGATTTAATGGGAAACCATAGCTGTCAAAAACCTACCCTGGGGGTAAACTGAAACCATGGGCGGTCTGGCCCTAACCCGTTGAGTGGGACTAGCCCTGCTGTCTGGCCCTAACCCTGTTGATTAGACTAGCCCCATAGCTGTCTGGCCCAACCCTGTTGAGTAGACTACCCACCATAGCGGCCTAACCCTTTCCCCCCTTTTTGAGTTACACCCAACCATAGCTGTCTGGCCCTAACCCTTTTGGTTTAAAACTAGAAACCATAGCCCCCTGGCCCAAACCCGGTTGAGTAAAATAGAAACCATAGCTGTCTAACCTAACCCTTTTGATTTAGACTACCCCAATAGGGGTCAACCCAAAACCCTGTTGAGTAACAGCACCAAGCTGTCTGGCCCAAACCCCTTTTTGAGTAGACTAGCAACATAGCGGGCTCCCCCCAACCCTGTTGAGGACTACACCAAGCTGTCTGACCCAAAACCCTTTTGAGTGCCTAGAAACCCATAGCTTTCAAACCCAAACCCCTTTTGAGTAAACAGCCCCAAGTGGGGGGGCCCTAACCCTTTTTGGAGTAGAAATAGAAACCAAATAGCTGCAAACCCCCTAACCCTGTTTGAGTAGACTACCCATAGTGTCTAACCCTAACCCCTGTTGATAAAACAAAGGGGTTAAACCCCAAAACCCCCTTTTGAGTAGACAAACACCAAGCGGTCAAACCCAAACCCCGTTGGAAAGGACCCCACCAACCCTGTCGGGCCCAAACCCTGTTGAGTAAAATAGCACCATAGTGTTAACCCAAACCCCGGTTGAGTAGACTGGGCACCATGTTTTAAAACCCAAAACCCTTTTAGGGACTAGCACCATAGCTGTCAAAAACCCAAAACCCTTTTGGAAGACTAGCCCCCATAGCTGTCAAACCCCCCCCCTTTTGAGTAGGATTTAGCCCCTACCCGTCGGGCCCCAAAAAACCCTGTTGAGTAACCCAGCACCAAGCTTCTAACCCAAAACCCTGTTGGTAAAATAGAAACCAAGCTTTTCAAAACCCTTTAACCCTTTTTGAGTGGGACTAGCACCATAGCTGTCAAACCCAAACCCCTTTTGAGTAGACTGGCACCTAGCTGTTAACCCTAACCCTGTTGAGTAGACTAGCCCCCAATAGCTGTCTGGCCCTAACCCTTTGGTAAAATGCAACTAGCGTCAAACCTCTCCCCCCGTTGAGTAGACTAGCACCATAGTGTTTTCCCCTTTAAACCCTTTTGAGTAAAAGGGCACCATACCCTGTCAACCCAAACCCCTTTTGATAGACTAGAAACCATAGTTTGTTTTGGCCCAAACCCCTTTTGAGTGGGACTAGAACCATACTTGTTGGCCTAACCTTGTTTTTAGACAGCCCCATAGTTTGTCTGGCCCAAACCCCTATTGAGTAGACAAAGGCCCCATAGCTTGTCTACCCTAACCCTGGTTGAGTAGACTACACCATAGCTTTTCGGGCCCCTAGCCCTGTTGAGTGACTACACCATACTGTCTAACCCCCCCCTGTTGAGTAGCCTACCCCCATAGTGAAAAAACCCTATTGAGAAAATGGGCCCCAATGCTGTCTAACCCTAACCCGGTTGAGAGACTAGCACCATAGTTCTAACCCAAACCCGTTGAGTAGCCCCTAGCACCCGCTGTCTGGCCCAAACCCCTTTTGATTAGACTAGCACCATAGCTTTTCGGGCCCCAAAACCCCTTTTGAGTACACTACCCCAAATAGGTTTTGGCCCTCCCCCTTTTTGAGGACTAGACCTAGCTGTCGGCCCTTTAACCCCTGTTGAAATACACCTAGCTGTCTAACCCAAACCCCCTTTGAGAACTGCACCAAGGTTCCAAACCCCCCCCCGTTGGTAAAATAGCACCAAAAGCTGTCAAACCCCAAACCCCTTTTTGATAAATAGCCCCCATAGCTTCAACCCCCCCTTTTTGTTAGACTAGAAACCAAGCTGTCTCCCCCAAACCCCCTTTTGGGGTAGACTGCACCATAGCTGTCTGGCCCAAAACCCTTTGTTGATAGACTAGCAAAATAGCTGCCCGGGGGGCCCCCCCTAACCCGGGTTGAATTAGACTAAAACCATAGCTGTTGGCCCAAACCCCCTTTTGAGTAATAGCCCATAGCGGTCCCCCCCCAACCCCCTGTTAGTAGATAGCACCATAGTTTTCAAAAACCCTAAACCCCGTTGAGAAAGACACACCATAGCTGTTTGGCCCTAACCCGTTGAGTAAAATACCCCAAATAGCTGTCTAACCCAACCCTTTTGGATAATTTAAAAACCCATAGCTGTCTGGCCCCAAACCCCTGTTGGGGAAAATAGCCCCTAGCTGTCTAAAAAAAACCCTTTGTTATTAACAGCCCCAATAGCTGCCCAAAACCCTAACCCTTTTGAGTGGGACTAGCCCCATAGCGGTCAAAACCCCCCCCCTTTTGATTAGATTTAGCACCATACTGTCTACCCAAACCCTTTGTTGAGTAGACTACACCAACCCTGTCGGGCCCCAACCCCCTTTTGAGTAGATAGCCCCATAGCTGCCCTAACCCTAACCCTGTTGATTAGTTTAAAACCATGCTGTTTTAACCTAACCTTTTGGGTAGCCCTCCCCTTTAATTCAAACCTAACCCTGTTGGGGTAGACAGCACCAAATTTTCTGGCCCAAACCCCGGGTTGGTAGACTAGCCCCATACTGCCCGGGCCCCAAACCCCCTGTTGAGTAAAACTAGAAACCATAGTTTGTCAAAAACCCAAACCCCTTTGATTTAGATAGCCCCAAACTGTCTAACCCAAACCCGTTGAGAAAGCCCTGCCCCCTAGCTGTCAAAACCCTTTAACCCTGTTGATTAGACTAGCACCATAGCTGTCGGGCCCTGCCCTTTTGGGTGGGCTGCACCATGCTGCAAACCCCAAACCCCGGGTTGGGGAACTAGCCCATAGCTTCGGGGCCCTACCCCTTTTGGTAGTAGCCCCCTAGCTGTCGGGGCCCAAAACCCCCCTTTTGAGTAAAATAGCACCATATTTTTGGGCCCTACCCTTTTTAGTAGCCACCCCAAAAAGGGCCTTGTCTAACCCTAACCCGTTTAAAAGTAGAAACCCCCAACCATAGTTTGTCCCCCCCCAAACCCGGTTTAAAAAGGCCCCTGGGCCCCATACCTGTCTAACCCAACCCTTTTGGAGGCCCTCCCCTGCTGTCTGGCCCTACCTTTTGATTTAGACTAGCCCCATCGTGTCGGCCCTTAACCCGGGTTTGAGAAGCCCCAACCCCAAAATAGTTTTTGGGCCCC